AAAAAATTAAAACCCTCGCGGGGAGCAACTTGTTTTATATATGAAGATAAGCAATTGGTACATGCAATATTATATTAATAAGCTATGTTTACACAGTGGTAGGTAATGACGTTCATTCATTTAAAGTTAAGATCAACGCAACAGAATCTGATGAAACGATGTATAAAAACGATTTACTTGGAAAATATTTTACGTACATGTCTGTAATTAATAACATATGCGTGTTTATTACTCTTAGTCCGAAATTTAAGAGTTACCTACCTACCTACCCATTACCCTAGTAAATATATTATAGTAGTATAGGTAGTAAATTAGAAGCACAAGTAGTTTAATTCTTATAAATATATTTAGCAGGCGAAACTACTACTACATATATACCGAATATCGAATATGAGACAAATATTCGGCGTATCTCTAGAAAAAATTCCACCCCTAATTCCAAACCTAAGGGTTGCAAATATAACATTTGTTTTATCAATTTGAAGTCGGTTTTTACTTTTTGTTAATGTTATAATTATTTATGTGAGAAACTGTTACAAAACTTTTGACAATATTAGTTATGTGCTTAATAATTATATAATTTTAACACACGTAATAATCCACTGGGTATTGATACCTGGTAGAGCCACGCTGCAGCTATATTATGGTTGTAATACGAATGGCTCGCCTCGACCGGGGTAGGACCACTTTCTCACAGAATACCAGCTTAAAATAGTAGTTTACACACATGCGTTGTCAGCCCTGAAGATTAAGATGGAATGCCTCGTTTCCAGTAGAAAGGGTTTCAGGATCTCTACACTCGCCATATCTTAATATTCAGCTAAAGCACCGAACATCCGTTGAAATGGTACCTACTCAAAGTGTTCATTGTATTGAAAAGTTCGAGTCGAGTAATGCCATGTCTTTCATAACATAAGCATGTTCCGGCAATTAGCTCAGTACTAGGGTAACAAGTTTCGACATAAATTGGTTAGGTACCGAAGTGATCCTGTCGAAAATATTCGGCCGAATATTCGGTTCGGTAAAAGTTTTACTGAACTTTTAACTGAATATTCGTATTCGCTGAAACACATATTCGGCTCACTTCTAAATTTTTCTCCAAATTTATATGGGACCACCCTTGAAGTACTTCCTGCTAATTTCCAATGCAAATCGCTCCAAATTTCACCAAATTATGTTGCGAAATCTCGAAGTTTAACATAAGTATGTGTATAAGATACATAAATGTTTTTTTTTTCAAATTCTTTCTCCTTCGATATCTCACGAAAAAATGAATTGATTTTTATTTACCAAACGGCATTTGACGTCGCACACACGCGCACGCGCACGCGCACTCGCACTCGCACTCGCACGATGTGATGAAATATGTCGAGATCTGATGAAAACTCGATTTTCGAAAATCGGGGTGAAACCAATAACTTCCTTATTTTTGAAAATTTTCAATTTTCTTACCGGGAAGTTAAAAAAAATCATTAAAATCGGTTCTTTGTCTACGAAGACATATGAATTTCCTTAAGGTTAAACAATAGTCCAATGTATGAAACTTTTTCCCATATTTTCCACCCGTGTGGGCGGAATTTTTTCTTAAAAATTTAATGGGACCACGCTTGAAGTAAAGCCTATTTAATAAAAAAATAATAATAAAAAATCGGTTCACAATCTGCGAAGATATCGCGTAACATACAAAAAAATTAACATACACTCGTGTTGGCGACGCGAGATAAATCATCTCATTAAATCTTTCAATATTTCTTATAGATTAAATGTCAGAAATAATTAATTTTATTAAATGCTAATTTCTGAGTACAAAAAGGGTAAAGAAATGTTATTGTATTGACTTGGAATGATGCATTACATAGTAATCGCTTATGTAATACTATATGAATAGAGAATTAAAACATTTTATTGCTTTAAGCACTTTGATTGTTTACATTAATGTTTTAATATAATATACCTCGGATAACCTCCCTTTACTTATAGTTTACCCGACTGCGGCAAAAACAATCCGCTATTAATTTGACATCGCCTTGTAAAACCAGGCGCCCAGGACCGGCCCATAGTAGTGGGCCGTGATGAATGCCCGAGTAAAGGGGTATTCCCCAAGGCCCAAAACCTGCTGGACAGAAAGCCCATGCAGAAGACATTGTACTACATCGCAAACTTGCTTAAGTCACTAATATGTATACTATCAGGTTGTTTTGGAATGTCATACTTATAAAATTTGCAAAATAATATAATTAATTATTTATCAAAAAATAATTTTTATATCTGACAAACTTCCCTCAAATTTCATATAATTTTTTTTAAGTACTAGAAGTAATCAAAAAGCACTACCACTCCAACTAAACTTTTAAATGTGTGTGCAAGGAGTGGTTCACAGAAGGTAGTAGTTGACTGGCGAATTTGAACCTACCACTGTCACTTCATATGTATTTCTATTTACAGTGGAAACTCGATTAACCGGACTAATTGTTGCCATTAGGGATTCAGATAATCGAAAATCCGGATAATCGAATGTATGAAGAAAAGCGGGTTTTGTGCATTTGTAGTACATACATACATAATGTTATGTGTTTATTAAAAACAACAATATCAACGAAAATCAATGTTTATTAAGAAATTATTAAGAGATACATTTTTCAATACACAATGTATGCACTTATTTGTGTACATACATTTAAGGATTATAGTTTAACTAAAACATTTGATTTGCATTCAAAAAATATTGATTTATCAATTTATCTTAAATAAGAAGCAATAAATTGCATTTAATTTCGACTTAAAAGAATGAGTTATTCAACTCCTTATTTATTAATTGAAACCAAATAGAGGTATATCACTGTTAATGATATTATTGAATTATAATATTCCAATTAAACCTCAATATGGAAAATATAATTTAAGAATTTATAGATTTTATACTGGTGTTTCTTGTGAATATTTAATATTAATTTTACATTGATTACCTTTAAACAATTTTTTGATGTTTTATAATTTGATTTTAATTTAAATAATTTAATAAAAATATTGATTTGTGGAGTCAAGCCAGATATTGGTTGCCCAGTTGATCGTTTTTGTAAAAACCAACAATACAAAGCGTCTTCTAAAAGTTAGTTTTTCGGTTTCTTCATCATTTTCCGATGTTTACTCCCGTCTTCACTATCTAATTTGCAAGTGTACAACCAAATTGAATCGGCATTTTTCTTAATATCACTTATTGTGGATGTACCTACACCATACTTATCAGCTAACTTATGACCAGTTTCTCCTTTTTTTTAGTGAATAATTTTTTTTTTGTCTTTAAGCCATAACACCACTCTTTTAGGCTTTGACATTTTTAAATATTTAGATTTTAGACTAGATACACACTCAGAGCTAACAAAAGTTTTGTTATTGTTTTAGTTATTGTTGTTACGAAACGCGATCCCGCAGGGCACGGTCAGGGTAATGCCAGTAGGACACATTCATGCTTGCATAATAAATTCGATATGAAGTACATATGTTAAACACTTTGTAACTTGGCTCAATATGACTTAATTATTTAATTGGTCGCAGTTGATAGTCCCGATAATCGCGAATCCGTATAACTGAGGGCCCAATAATGGAGTTTCTACCGTATACTATGAAAATAGTTACAACAAAGCAATCTAGATATTAACAAACATTGGAGAGGCTTCCAATACTAATACAATATAATATGTGAGTGGAGTGAATAGGAAGTGAATTTATGTTGCATAACTAGGTGGTATAGTGGTTGTAATTTAGATGAATAATTTGTCAAAGCTCCAACTTAATTTATGTATTCAAATAAGTAAACTCAACTGAATTATTAAGATCACTTATGAATAAAACTAATATGAAATGAATAGATTTAATCATTAAGATCCTTTTTAATACTGGATATTTGGACATAATTTTTAGCACAAACCAACAATGTGGCAACCTAAAATAAACCAATGAGGGCATAGTTTTATATGTGGAAGAGCCATGCTGCAGTTATATTGATAGTATAATTGTAACATGAAAGGGTAGGCTCAACTGCGGAAGGACGACACTCCCACAGAATACCAGCGTAAAATAGTAGCTTAATGCTGCTGTGTTTCATATGGTGAGTGTAGAGGACCGGAGACCCTTTTTTTACTGGAAACGAGGCATTCCATGTTAGTCCTCACGGGTGACAACACATCTGCATTTTAATTTATAATCAAGGATATATGTAGATATATCTATGGGCCACAGCACCTTACCATCACGTGGACTGTGTACTTGTTTGTCACCCTTATACTAGGAATATATAATATGAGTAACAAAGGAGCAAACAGCATGAGTAGGTAGTTACTACAAACTACAACCAATAATGATTTGTATTATTATTAACTATTATTGGTTTTATGGTACAAATCAAATAAGAAAAAATGTTAAAATACTTTAAGCAAGAAAGGCTATATAAATGCTATAAGCTGCTGCAGAACAAGATCTTGTTTTTTATAGTATTGTGTGACAAACAAGCACACAGTCCACCTGATGGTAAGTGGATGCTGTGGATCATAGACATCTACATTTATTTTAGATTAAGAATCAAATTGCAGATGCTTTGTCACCTCTAAAGACTAGGATGGAATGCCTCATTTTGGACTCTGGTTCTCTACACTCACCAAACCAAACACAATAGCATTAAGCTGCTATATTACACTGGTATTCTAGCATGCTCCTTCCCCAGTCAAGCCGACCCACTCATGCAACAACCATAATATTGCTGCAGCATAGCTGCACCAGGTATAAGATGGAATGCCTTATATGATGTTTTCTCTCCATATCATTCAACCAGAATACATAAGTAACCACTTATACATCAGCAGACTATTAGTTAACTTCTCACTCCATCAGACAAATTTAGTATTACTACAGTAAAAAAAATTATATTGTGTAGTTATAATACTAAAAAAGTGACAAATATGTGCTACAAAGTTTCTAACTAAATATATCAATTACACACATACCTGAAACCTCGTAGCTGATGGTTGATCCTTAAACCGTGATGGTTTTTCAACATCCCTAATACTGCTTTTCGTGACAGGTGAGTCAGAGCGCAGCATACTCGTTCGTTCATTAATCATATCAGGAAGAAGCTTGTCTTGCTCAGTGATCTCTTTTTTAAAATGAAGCCCTGCTTCAATGTCACCATTTTTCGAACTCTCTGAAGGGTACTGAATATTGCCGTTAGTTGCTGCCATCGACTTCGCAGAACTAATCTTTCGAAACCTTCCGATTATCACGTCCTCTTCATCATTCACCGGTATATTTAATTTCTCCGTAGGCACATGAGGTTTTATCTGATTCATCTCGGATTTCACTGGGCTCAGTTCAATATCTTTTTGTGACGAATTCATGGTTGAGGGATTATTTTAAAGTACGGGTTTAACACAGAAAATGTGCATTAAAACGTATTTTTCAAAACCATCACAGTTTCGCCGGCATATTTTACAGATGTAGAATTAACTGTAATACTGAATAAATGTGGCCCTCTTTGCGATTGCAAACAAAAATTTTCTATTATTTTAAACACTTTGTTGTACACATTTAAATTTTCAGTAAAAAGTGAACGTATCTTGAAAATTTCAAACAACGCGGAACAACCACATAGTGAAAACACCCGTCTCTAGCAAAAGTCAGAACAAAATAATCCATAGATTACCGAATATATACTAGAAATAAATGAATGATCACTAGGCTTGGGGAAAAAATCGATATATCATAATATCGATATTTTTTCAGAAAATAACCGATATATATCGGTGATTTTTTTTCTCGATATATCGATTTTCAATATTTGTTTTCGGATATCGAAAACGGTATTATTTCGCCTCGAGTTTTCGAGAAATATTTTTTTTGCCTCGAACACATAAATAGAAAGTTATCTATAGTCTATGATCCGTTTGTTTGTGGTCTGCGAAGTGGAGCCAACAATGGCAACAACAGGACCCTGACTGACAGTCATCAGTCATCTAGTTGGTAGAGTGAGTAGGTAATGGCAAGCTTAGCCATTCCTCTATTAAATTAAGTTTACCAAGTAACCGATCACTCAACTACTCCTATATACTCCTTCCACCCACTCTGGGAATAAATGTAAAACAGGCTTTAATTTAAAAAAATTGAAGAGAAACTAGTTCCTCTAGAACGAAATACTTTTCTTTCAATAGCTACAATTTTGTACCCTCGTTTCAAGCATATCCACTTTAATTCTCCAATTGCCGTATCAAATGCTATATCAAAAATAAGCGACGTAAAGTCCTGACCAATGTAAGTTCTGACCGAGCAAAATCAGAAAAGGCAAATGAATCATCAATCTGGTGCAGACATGAGGAGCTTTTAAACCTGAGAACAGCTACGCAAGAGGTCCCAAGCTCCGGATCTTTCCCCAATGAGCTAAAACAATATCTGGACTAACCACTTCTTGAGAGGAAGTGAGATCCAATAAAGTTTTTGAGTGAATTGCCGACATTTCACGCCGGTTCTTTCGGATATCGCTCTTAAATATTTAATATGTCAAGCTTTCTCGGTATCATCCGAAAGGGTTGTTTCGATTGTTAATTAAACAGTACTGGATAATAGGAACAAAAGAAAAAGTGCTGCTGATGTCTATTTCAGACGAATACTGGTTTCAGTGATGGTTAATTTCAATAATATAAATGTACGGTTTATGAATATATATAAAATAATAAATATATCGGATATGGATTTTCATTTTTCATTATCCAATTTTTGAGATTGCAAAATATATAGGTAACCTTCTCTTGAGCAAAAATATCGATACATTGGAATAACGGTATTTAAATATATATATATATATATATATATATATATATATATATATATATATATATATATATATATATATATATATCAATATATTTTTCCCTTTGCCCATCCCTAATGGCCATTGAGTACTTTTATATTCATTTTTTTTGTTTAACTGGCTTTACGGCTCTGGATTCTAGCTCTTCTGAGCCTATCATTTCCTTGAGAATCTTCATTTTTACTTATATTTTTTCTTCACAATATGTTGATGCGTCACATTGCAAGTTTTTGGGAGATTTCGGCGACAGGTCAAACCAGCGGACAGTTGATGACGGCAGCCACTCAAGTTCATAAGACGCCCAAGTGATCTAAATAACCTGAGGTTTATATCAACATCAAAGCACTTTTAAATAATACTAGTTTTTACGGATTTTATTGCGTATATTTAACTTTTTAAATAACCGACGCTTCGAGCACTTTACAGCACGCATGTTCACTAACACCATGTAACTAACAGCAATTACGCAATAACATCGCACAGATTACCGTACGAAGAAAATATCTGTAGTGTCGAGGACTGTTTACTTAAAAACAATACGCGGAAAGAAGATTTGGAGGCGATACGTCAAGACATTTCGTCTATGTTACGTCGAAGTTAAGTGCCTAAACCGAATCTTCCCAAAGACGAATTAATAGCGTAAAAGAACCCACGCAATAAATCAGAACTAACGATTCTCCGTACAGATAAAAGAAATGCCACGGTACACTTGAAACAGCTAATGACCTCATAAAGAAACGATAATACCTACGTGTGCCAAATCACCGAACTTGTATGGGTTACCGAAAATACACAAGCCCAATGCTCCACTACGTCCCATAGTAAGCCAAATCGATTCACCAACTTACAGATTGGCTCAACACTTAGCGAAAATACTCTCACCGCTCAGGGGACATTAAAGCGAGATTAAAGACCTACATCTGGCAGACAATGAAACTATGGTCGGTTTAGATGTGCAGTCATTGTTTACATGTTTACCTGTTGAAGACTGCATTTCAATTGTAACTAGAAGGCTGGAAGAAAACAACATGCCCGTAGAACATGCAGTATTACTCAGACACTGCCTTACATAGGGCTACCTATTGTGGAAGGAGGAGTTCTACAAGCAAGTATCATGGTGTGGCGATGGGCTCACCTGTATCTCCCATTGTCACCGACATATTCAAGGAAGACTTTGAGGAGAAAGCCCTGCTTACTTCTCCCATAAATCCAAGATTCTACAAGTGGTACATAGATAGAGGCAAACAATTCTTTAACTTTTCTAGATGTGTTAGTAATACGGAATCCTGATAACACCTTGAACCATACTGTGTATAGAAAAAAGACCCATACAGATAGATATTTAAACGGTGTTTCTCACCACCATCCTTCACAGTTAGCTACCGTGGGTAAATCTTTTTTTCAGAGAGCACGAGTGATCTCTGACAGTGAACACCTTTCTGCCGAGCTCCAACACGTCAAGCAAGTTTTGCATGACAACAAGCTTCGGGTTCCGCGCCTACGTCACTGTGAACGAGTGAAGCCGGCCACAGTCGAGCGTGTACCTGCTGTACTGCCATATGTCAGAGGAGTAACTGACAAGATTGGCTACATCTTGAAACGCGCTTCCATTAAAACATACTTCAAGCCGTCGAAGAAGATTGGCCAGTTTTTACCATCAGTAAAGTGTAATGTCCCTCTGCAAGATGCAGAAGTGTACAAGCTTGTGAATGTGGTCTCTCCTACATAGGACAAACTAAATGATCAATTAAAACCCGCGTTAAAGAACATGTAGCTGATGTGAAGAATTGACACTCCGGGAAATCTACAGTCTGTGAACTGTGTCACTACATCAGATTTGATAGACCACAAATCCTCGCTAAAGAGTCTCTAAATATAAGTATTTATGGGTTAAAGTCCTGTGGGTGGGTGCGGTCGTATCCGATCGCTTGAATTTTGACGGAACATCGCCTTGGTCGGATCTGACCGTGTGCCCATTGAAAGGTTAACAAAGTATTTCTTATATTTAAATACTTGGCACTTGAATTCATAACTTTCCCGGCGTTCTTATGCTCGTATTTTGCATTCAGGAACAACACAACAATGATTTAGATGATAATTCAATAACATTAAAAAGTATCTTATTTCTTTGCAAAATCGGAAAGATTGACGACTGTGACGTCACGAGTTTTACAACATGGCGGCTAGCGTTTTCACGCGAAAATTTAAAACGATAGATTAAAAGTAATTTTTATGGCACTATTCGGTTAAAAAAATTATATAATAATTATGGTGGTGTCATTATTTAGGTTCACAGTGTCGCATCATTCGTCGATGCGTTCGATGGTTTGATATGTAGATCGTATTAAATCGAGACAATGACGTCAACTGTCATTAAATGTAATAGTTGTGATACAGTTATTTGTGAGGTTCTGGCGTTCATACAAAGTCAAGTAGATGTAATAGTGTGAAGAAAGTTTACGTGGTAGAGCCATACTGCAGCCTGCAGTTATATTAGTAGTATAGTTGTAGCACGAATGGGTCGGCTCGACCGGAGAAGGACTACGCTCTCACAGAATACCAGTGTAAAATAGTAGTTTAATGCTGCTGTGTTTCGTATAGTGAGTGTAAAGAACTGGAGACTCTTTTTACTGGAAATAAGGCATTCCATCCTAGTTCTCACGGGTGACAACGCGTCTGCATTTTGATTCGTAATCGAGGATAGATGTAGATGTCTATGGGCCACAGCAACCACTTACCATCAGGTGGAAAGTGTGCTCGTTTGTAATCCTATCCTATAAAAAAAGGCATTATTCGTCTATGTATAACAGCGTTTAGTGATGAGGATGTTGTAGCTTCTAAAGACTAATTGTATCAATCAGTGCGAACTAAAGAAAAAAGTAAGAAAAGGTAAAGCGGAAGTAAAGCACAACTACAAGTATTCTTAAGGATCAAGTACAAGAGCTAAAAGAACAATTTGTGACGGCTAAAGAACTAAAAGAGCTAAAAAAGGAAGTTTGTAATCTACGACAAGCATCGCTGATTAACAATATTGAACCCGAAAACTGTGTCAATACTAATAGAGGCGGTTTACGTAATTTATTACAATATGAAAATTATGAGGGTAGCAGTGTACCATTTGGCATTTTGAATCTAGCGCAATGTAAAAAAACTCTAGAGCGGGCACAAATATCTGATAATAATATGGCCTCATTTACTCGGAAAGAATCAGAGTGCTATATAATAACTCATTCACCATCTCTGTCCCCCGCAATACAGCCCTATAAGAGCCCACACAGTTTACACACGAGAATAGCGACGAATTGATGAATGGGACCAGTGAGTGAGATCGCGATGCGTCTAACATAGGTGTGAAAATTGTGCTTGTGTCCCCCCACCTATGAATGAGACACCAGATACGCAGTGCCGTATATCGACGAACGCGGCAGTTACGATGAATCATAATGAGCGTAAATCATTTGCACAAGTAGCGAGAGCGGGCGGCGT